CAATATTCCCCTTCAAATGATCAGTGTTCCTACCTCCCACGATAGGGAACACATTCGGGCTCTTATGCATAACGTAAGCCAGCGCCACACTCGTGATCAGCGTCCCCTTCTTCTTCGCCACCTTCTCCAGCGCTTCGGAGATCTTGATGTCCTTCTCGGTGTGCTCCACCTGCCTTCCGTCCTTCGCTTCGCGCGACTCTTTGGTCTTGAACTTGCCACCTCCCAAAGCGGACCACGGGGCGAGTGCCATACCCTCGGCTTGGGCCATGGGTAGGATGTCCCGCTCGAAGTCTCGGTCGCCGGCGGACCATTTCCCTTGGTAGACGACGAATTGGCGCAGACCGTGGTCGCGGGCGTACTGGTTGGCCTTGGAGACGATCCAGGCTGGGGCGTCGGAAATGCCGAGGTAGAGGACTAGGCCTTGGGAGACTAGGACGTTAAGGGATTGCATGACTTCTTCGATTGAGGTGGAGAAGTCCCACCAGTGGAGGTAGAGCTGAAAGTTGGTCAGTGATGGTATAGATCTATATGATGGAGATGTGTGAACCCACGATATCAATGTAGTCCGTCTTCAGCTTCTTCAAGCTAGCTCGGATTGACATATGCATGCTTTTGGTGTGGTTCCCCTGGTAGTTGGACTTCAAAGCCTTGGGATCGGACAATGAGGGGTACGCGGTGGTGTACTTCGTGGCGATAACCAACTGGTCACGGTTACCGCGTTTCTCCATCCACTCGCCGATCCAGGTCTCAGACTCTTCGTTCTGGTAATTGTTGGATCTGGAACGTTGTCAGAAAGCTGTCGAGTCGCAGTACTGCGTGACTGACTCACGTATCCAGGAAGTTGCCACCATTCTCGTAGAAATAGTCCAAGATTTTGAATGACTGGTCCTTGTCACATTTGCCCATGTACGAAGCCCACGCATCCCCGAAGTTCATGCATCCGAGCGAAAGCGGGGAGACTCGTACGCCACCAGTTGAAGACAAGATGCGGTGGTAACCAAGTACAGATTTGGGAGCCTCAGCGGGGGCAAAAAGAGACATGTTGGAAGAATATGATCAAGGATGTGAATAGTCCCGAACAATAGGGAATGGACAATACAATCCAGATAGGGAAGCTATTGAAATAGAGATATAGGATGGATATGGTCGAAGAATAGATATGATGATGAAATGCCACAACAGATGGCGAGAAGTCTCAATTATATACCCACCGACACAAAACCTACCCGGCTAGACAAGAATGACGAGTGGTGAGCTCTCGAGGGGAGCTTGGTGCATTTCCCTGCATAAAATGTTCAAGTCTCCGTCACGACTCAAACGCTGACATATTACTGCTGCAGCCGATGGCTTCTCGACCCCGCCCAGCCCCACCTGCAATGAGAGCTCCGCGGATACAGATCCCGGACTTAGCGGATTTAGGACAGTATCGGCTCCTTGTCTCTGATCATTTCATTCAATATCGAACGGGGTGAATCGGCGAGTGGCGATCAAATGGCTGCCTAACGGCCAAGCGACAAACAATCGGCTTTTCTATCAAGGTGTCTAGCTCGGTTCGATCCGATTACTCGTCCCGTCTTTCAACTGCCGGGAGCAAGGCCCAACATCCAATCATAGCAATAAATAGTGCAATGCAGATAGGATGAAGCACAACCGGGCCCACTGCTTGCGCCAGTAAACCCGTCAGGAACGGAGCAATAGCTCCCCCACTGCTGCCTGCAGATGCTATGAATCCAATTGCTGACACTTGTAGTCGGGATGGCAACAGCCGTGAAAATAGTGTCTGGGCACAAGGATAAACTGGACCTAGCAGGAAACCCTCAAGCGATACTGTGACCGCATCCCCAACAATACTTGGCACCAGCCAGGTTAGTAGCTGGAGGCAGACCGTCCCAGCAACCAGGAGGTATACATAGAGCTTGATGCCAACTTTTGAAGCAAAATAACTGAGGAGCAGTCTGCCCAGAGCAATGCCCCCGAAGAAGCCAGAGGTGACGTATCCCACCTTCGATGGATCTCCGTGCCGAGCTTTGATAAGGAATGAGATGATCCATCCGCTGATGGAGACTTCGGCGCCTTGGTATGCGAAGATGAAAGCTGCTCCAAGCAGTGTTACCCGATTCTTCAAAACCTGTTTCACTAGCTGACCTCTTGTTGACTTGTCACTTTCCGCGTTCTGCCGGCCCGCGAGCCGTTCAAGACTAGCTGAGAATTTGCTAGTTGCTTCCTGCTCATAACCTTTGTGTACAAATCCCGTGAAGAAGAAAATGACGACTCGCAAGCCGATCAAGGTGAGAAAGAAGCGAGACCATAGGACACCATGCGATACCATTAGTGTTGCAATGATTGGGGCAACAAGACCTCCGATGCCATATGATCCATGGCCAGCGCCCAATATTACTGTCGCGTTGGCCATATTTGCGCAAAACACATTATGTAGGGCCAGATTAAGCGCATAACCAAGTCCAAGAAGGAAATATCTGTCAAGATTAGCATTGATATGAACACTCTCGGTAGCAATACATACGCAGCGATAACCGCACCAAAAGGAGGTGTGCATGTTATCATGACATATCCGACTACCATGATCGCTTCCGAGGTCATCAGTGTACGGGCTCTGCCCAGCTTTGCATGAATAGCATCGCTCGCAAATGCCGTCGTGATGAATCCCGCAGCATTGGAGACGAAGATTAAAGATACCACAGCATACCCGATACCATAGTGCTTCTCAATGTACGGAATTAATGCACCCGGGGCTTTGCAGAAGAGTCAGCTTGCATGGCCCCCAGACTAAATTCATCGCAAACCTACCGCCGTCGTTAAAGCCATTTGCGAAGTACGTCAAGCAAGAACAGACCACCCTCCACTTGTTCTTCGCTGGATAGAAGAAGCTGGGCACAATCTCGGCTACATGACGGTCTTTAGGTGTGCTGGCTTCGAGCTCGTTTATGTCAAGGGGCGTCTGTTGCCCGCTTCCGGGCCGAGTGTGAGCTTCTGCGGGGGTTTGAGGGTTGGCAGGAGCTATGGCAAAGTCTTCATCTGGACGGTGCCTCGCTGGTGAAGGGGCTACCCGTCTCAGCTCTATCGAATGCGGAGCATGTGGTCGATCAGCAGTCGTCGCTGGAGGATGTTCGATCTTTTCGTCACCCAACGATACAATTCGGATTCCGGGTGCAAGCATCATGGTATCCATGATTCGGTATGCGGATCAGCATGAGTTACGGACGACTTGCAAAGCTCTTGATCGTTGGAGCTTTATAGATAGAGAGTTATATTCTGGTGACTTACAAAGCAACGACTTTACCTAAATGACGAAACGAGCGGTTGCTTGCTGCATAAAGAACATCCGAAAATGCTTTTACTCCCATCTGTCAGCTAGCATGGGAGCCCCGCTGATTTGCATGGGAGAAGGAGGGGCGGCAAGTGCGGCTCGTCTCAATTAGGGAATTCATCCGCCCGTCTAATACACCACTCTGCAGCACTGCAACACGAAGGTGCTCTGTAGCCTTAGAGTAAGATCACGATCCCATGAACCAGTGGTGGCAAGCGGCCAAAAGGTTTCTGCATAATAATCATACATTGAAGTGGTATGCAAAATGTGATTCGTTTCTGGCAAAGATGCTGCATCGCAGCCATGGGATGAAAATGGCGTAAACCCTAACCCTGTACAGCCTGTACCCCGGGATTGATCCGGCGCATCTCGAAAAGTTCACTTGCGACAATAGAACTACTTGGTCATTCTCGTAGCGGTCAAACCTCCCGCTTGACTTATCTCACCGTTCGCATATCCTCTTTTGCGACAATGGCAGCTGTGAGCGCTCATAATCGATACGCGTCGATACAAGCTAACATCCTTAGGTCGTACCCAAAAACCCCCGGCCAATGCTCCAGGAGCTGGTCAACGACCAGGTCATCGTCAGACTCAAGTGGGGCGAGACCGAATATCACGGAAAGCTCGTTTCGGTCGACTCGTACATGAATATTCAGCTGTCCGAGGCACTCGAGATGGTAGAGGGCGAAGAGAAAGGCACATTGGGCAACATCTTGATCAGGTATGCGACCACTCTCACACAATTACTCAGTAGCCCACCGGAATTACAACAATGCTGATGGAGGCGTGGTAATCTTCTTGATGACCTCAAGTCACTGGTGAGCTGAACTTCCGGCATGATCAGTGGTAAAGATACATCTGGTTGTGTTACTTCGCCGTCCAGTCAGCAACCTGTGCTTATGGCGCGAGATTGGTGGAACGTCCTTACGTTGACAATATAGGTGACTGACTTACGTGGTAGATGCAACAACGTCCTTTGGATTTCGGCACGCAACGCAGCTCAGAATGGCGACGTGAAGATGGAAAGCTGAGGCTATGGTACGAGAATGGCAGGAATCAACGGAGACAGCCCGCTGCTACAAGTCCGGCATCAATGTCGCGATCTCTGTTACGGCGCGTTTGGTGCTCAGAAGCATCATCTCGAGCAATGAAGGATATCAACAGGGCAAAGACTAAAGAGAGCACCACAAGGAGCTGAGCAAAGGTCGCAATGGTCCAGCTCATCTGCAGAGAATGATGGCAGTTCCCATTCTAATGGCATCAGGACCTTGATTGAAAGCTTTATACCCCTGAGTAAAAGTTATGAATACAGCACGATTACCATGCTCACTGATTCACCCTTTGAGCTGTAGAAATGTTTTCACGGGCTAGTGTTGGCTTGATCAACCAATATTGTGCATTTTCTAATGATTAATGCTGTTCTGATCTCGTCGCCCGTACAAACTTGACCATCCCGCGAGGCCTTCTCATCCAGACTCATCCCACCTCCCAAGTGTCGGGCAAAAGTTTGATTCTCAGTTGTCCGGGCTTCTCTTACAAAGTGTAGAGAATGCCTTCATTACGCTGTCTAGGGCGCGATGCTACAATTTTCGACGTGCCAAAAACCGGGCGAGAATTAAATAGCTATATATATTATTTAATTTCGACGTTGGGGTTAGATTGCTTGAAAAATACTCCTATGACGCAGTGGCTAGCGTGTCGTTCTTATATCGTTACCCGAAAGGGACCGGTATGGCTTCTGCCTCAATGAGAAATGCGAAAGTCGTGAGTTCGACCCTCACTAGGAGTAAAAGCATTTTTGCAATTTTTGGCACCTCAAAACGCTCTGTTGGGGTCTCCTACACCTCCAACGTTTGACCCGGTCGACACCGCTCCGATCTCGCTTTCAGCCGGCATTTCTGTATGAACGGGTATCGTAAAATGTTTCTCGCCGTCTGTATTCCACTGTCGCCCCTCCAAAAGATTCTCGCACTAACTACACGATCGTTGTCCGATGACTCCTCTTTAATTTTCTTTGTCTGCTTTAGAAATACTATCGTACAAGGTTTTGTCCCGCCTTAAAGAATCTCAAGCAAGGCGGGTGTCCTTTCAATATTTTGGTTGGGTTTGGCGCAGAATATTCTCCCTTTTCTTGTCGCATCGGAAAGTTCCTGTCGCTATGATCGGTCGACCGCTTATTAGCCAGGATATTCCTGAGTCTCGCGTACTTATCATAATCACTGGTAGGCGATCACCGTGAGAAGCGATAAGACCGGGCAGTTGACGAGAGGGATTAGGTGGAACGATATGCATGCAAGAGTCTGACGACGGACTCGTGCCGGTAAGAAGGGCGCTTCTTGTGCAGCCTTGGAGAGCGATTGCTGATACGTAAAGGTCCCTGGGTTCTTGAGAAATGGTCTTGCACCTCGCCCTTCATTCAACGACGGATCTTATCCCGAACCTCTCCAAGTGGTGATTGATGATCAAGGCACGACGAAAGCAGTCCAGAGCTTACGGACCCCAAAAAGCTCATACCACCGTTGTGTGAGATATTCAGTACTGGAATTCAAGAAACTGCTTGATAGCAGTTCTATCAATGCTGCCGGATGGGATGAGATCGCCCGTACGGTCTACCGCAATTACACTCTTTATGATGGCTTCGTGGTATTACACGGGACTGACAGTCTTGCTTACACCTCGTCCGCACTCAGTTTCATGCTGCAGAACCTTGGTAAGCCGGTAATTCTTACAGGATCCCAAGCGCCTATAATGCAACTCCAGAACGATGCCACCGACAATCTTCTTTCTAGCCTGGTCATTGCTGGACACTTTATGATACCCGAAGTCTGCTTGTACTTCAACTTTAAGCTTTTCAGAGGTAACAGGGCAACAAAGGTGTCTGCCGATGACTTCAATGCTTTTGCGAGCCCAAATCTGCCTCCATTGGCAACAATTTCGAGTTTACGAACCAATGTACAGTGGCCATTGATCCATCGCTCAACAACGATGCACCCTTTGAGCCTACAAACAAATCTGGACACTACGCATGTAGCATGTTTAAGAGTATTTCCAGGAATTAAGCCAGAAATGCTGGATGCTGTGTTACGAGTGGATGGCCTTAAAGGCTTGATTCTCGAGACCTTCGGCGCAGGTAATGCTCCAGCAGGACCCGACTCTTCTCTGACCAAGATTCTGGCTGATGCTGTGTCGCGAGGCATCGTGATAGTCAATGTCACGCAGTGTCTCAGCGGAAGTGTCAGTCCACTATATGCACCAGCGACTGTTCTTGGCAGAGCTGGGGTAGTATTTGGTCTTGACATGACTACAGAAGCAGCATTGACGAAGCTCTCATACCTGCTGTCGATCCGAGATATCAGTGCTGCCGAGGTAGCTCGACGAATGTCTATATCGCTTCGTGGTGAGCTGACTGAAGTTGGCCTAACGCATTTCCAACATCCGGGTAGTCGGAATGGAAGTGCATCCCCGGAGATTGACAGTCTTACCGCTATGGGATACAAGATTGCTGGAGGTGACCATCACGGTGTCAAAGATATCTTACGCTTCGACGAACGGTGGTTGTGGAACGACAAAGACCCAGGCGGAAACACGGCAGTGGTAAGCTTGAAGAATCAACACATGCATATCATACAGCAACTAACAGCAGCAAAGCATCTTGCGGCGACCGGTCCAAATGTAGATATTCTGAACGATTTCTTGGCCCAGGGAGCATCTGTACACGTCAGGAATCGAGATGGACACACTCCCCTCTATTTGGCTGCGCAGTCTGGAAGCCAAGCAAATGTTGACTTGCTCGTCAAGGCTGGTGCACATTTACATGCAGAAGAGATCGACGGCGCTACTGCGGCTGCCAAAGCCGCCGGGGATGAAGCCAAGCAGCTTTGGAAAAGTGCCGGTTTGAACGTATAGAAACGCCTGACGAAAATTGCTGCAGATCTTGTCATGACGGCTTCTGATAATGTCAGTAGCTTTATAAAATAATGATATGCTTTTTTAAGTAATTTAGAATTGCCTCTCTAATGCACAGAAGAACCATCCAAGGAGCCTCGGGCAAGAGGCCGTCGGCAGAACGTCGGAGATACTTCTCCGCAGGACTTCACGGCATCAAGTCCATGTGACATTGAATGGCCGCGACTGCGGCTGCCCAGTGCTTGGACTTGCTTGTGCAACCTTTCTCAAAATGGCTGACGCACCTAGCGGTCAAGATGCCGATACGCAGGCTTCCACCAATCCCAACTCACAAGTTGACGAAAGCTTGCGCGACAACTTTGACTCCGACCTCAAACCAGCGACCGACACCCAGGACAACTCCGCCATGAACCTTGACGGTGCATCATCGCCACGCGCAAATCCACTGGACAAAGAGATTTCGACCGTCGAGAGCCGCTTGCCGAACAAGAAGGATGCGAATCTTCGCGAATTTCTCAGCAAGATGGATGACTACGCCCCAATCGTCAGTCTCTATTGTTGGTCACTGGTTGCATTCACTTACATGCGTAGATCCCCGATGCCGTCACCAACTACTACCTCACATTAGCCGGACTACCCCCACCGCCACAGACGCCACCACATCTTGCGCGCCTACTTGCGCTCGCTACTCAGAAGTTCATCGCCGACATCGCCGCTGACGCATACCAGTACAGTCGCATCCGATCGACCAATACGACCAGCAACAACCCGCTTACTGGGCTGGGAGGTGCCGCTGGGTTCGGCATGATGCCGGCGACAGGTGGTGCGGATGATGGCAAGAAGGGCAAAGACACAAAATCCGCTCCATTAGGTGGGCCGCGGCCCGGCTACGGTGGGGGAGGCGCCGGAGGAGGAACGAACAGGACTGTCCTCACAATGGAAGATTTAGGCATGGCTGTCGGAGAATATGGTGTTAACGTCAAGAGAGGAGAGTTCTACCGGTAGAGCCTGAGCTACGTCTGAGCTCCGTCTGAGCTCAGCGGAATAGTCGGTGCGAAGATCTGAAGATATGGCAAACTTGGCCAAACACAAATTGGCGTTGGGGTTTGGGACGATCCTCGCTTGCGGAAGCACATGCAGGAAATCGACACATGATAACTCTCCTTTCAGCACGATATTGGGGCGGCCTTTCACAGTTTCGAGGGCGACCAGCATAGACATGATTTATACCCTCAAGGAAGATAAAGAGCTTCATCAAATTCATTGCTAGTATGACACAATATTGGGTATAGTTGAGATTGCCAAGTATCTTGACAGGGATTGCACAAGCCCGAAAGTTCCCAAAGATCCGCGCCGTCTACTTGTTCTTCGTCATCTTGTAGGTGAATCGCTTTCTCGTGCTACGGAATGTCAGGCGCAATGCGGAGATGGCAGTGGTAAATGTGTCTTACTGTGCAAATTCTCCCAGCTTGTGTCCCACCATGTCCTCCGTGATTCTCACATCGTCGTACCTCCTTCCGTTGTGCACCTGAAAGACCATGCCAACAAAGTTTGGCAGAATGGTTGCGCTTCGTGCTTGTGTGCGGATAGGTGGCTGGCGCTCACCAGCTTTTGTGCGGATGATTGGCAGTCTAAGATTGCGTCAGGTTCAATGTCGAAGTGCGAGTGTCGAGTTCTTTGTCCCGGAACTCAAGCAAGATCGTTGATAGTGGTGTAGCTTACGGAACGATGTGCGGGCCTATGTCGCATGTTAGTCGAGGTTTGGCTACATAGGGCGGCATCACTTACCCTTCCATACAGATCGCGATCCAAGGAGAAGCTGTGTTGGACGCATGGCGAATCTTCTATCCCTGTCTGGACAGAAAGTCTATTGTCGTAGCATTGGAGGTTCTTGAAGTCGCAGCGAAAAAGCCCGAGCGGCAGCAGACGATTTGTTAGGCGCGCTAAGCGCAGACCTCCAACCTCAAACGCGGCGACCTCATCACGCATGGATGGCTGCCTGACGACCATTTCGAAATTCAAATGGAAAAAACAGTTCAAACTTTCAGCTCTCACTACTGCCTTCTGTGACTTGATGTTTCGCATTCGAACCAATTTTGCTGTTCATTTCGGGCTCGACCATTGCCCTTGGGTCTCATAGTGGTAGGCAGCGGATGGTCCGGAGGTTAGTTCGCAAAGATGGTCAATTTCACTGGTGAGCAACGTTTGTGGTCCACGACAGCTCTTTTTCGTTGATATCAAGCAGCTTCTGACACTATACGTGTCTTGGTCGCTACCGACAATCATGTCGGCTATTCGGAACGAGACAACAATCGTGGCGGTGACAGCGCAAAGACATTCGACGAGATTTTGCGCCTGGCCAAAGATCGAGATGTTGACATGGTCCTTCTTGCCGGTGACCTCTTCCACGAGAACAAGCCATCACGCAAGTCAATGTTTGAAGTCATGAAGTCACTCCGAGAGAATTGCTTCGGCGAGAAACCCTGCGAGCTTCAAATGCTCAGTGACGCCTCCGAGGTCTTCCAAGGCTTTTTTAACCACGCCAATTACGAAGACCCAGACTTGAACGTCGCCATCCCAGTCTTTTCGATCCACGGAAACCACGATGATCCATCTGGTGAAGGCCACTTCGCAGCATTAGACCTTCTGCAGATCTCAGGACTACTCAACTACTACGGCCGAGTCCTGGAATCGGACAAAATTGAAATCAAGCCCGTTCTTTTGCAAAAAGGTCGTACAAAGCTAGCTCTATACGGCATGTCCAACGTCCGTGATGAGCGACTATTTCGAACCTTCAGGGACGGCAAAGTCAAATTCTTTCAACCTTCTACGCAAAAGTCTGACTGGTTCAATCTCATGAGCGTGCATCAGAACCATCACGCC